CAGGTTCCATGGTTTAGCCAGTAGGTGATATGGAAGAACCGATAGGACTAACATCATCTATTCCTAGACACTACTAATGTGAAGGTCGACCAAAGTGGCAAATTAATCATAGCCGAATGCAGTATAAACCATTATCCACGCAGTACATCAGCCATTGGAACTGACGCTCGCCGCCTCACAACCCAGGTGACCTATGGAACGTAGAACAATCAGAAAGAGAGTAGGACATAGCGTAAAACCTTAGTGCACTAAACAGAAACTCAGGGTCAAGACGTCTACACATTATCAACAAAGATAAAGCGGCATCGGCGAGACGGCTTCCTTGCGGCTTTAACTGATCCGCGTCACAATCAGCCATTAATCCGCGAATAACAGTACCACAGCAGCAGACGTAGTATAAAGGAACCTGACTGTTTCACGTATTCAGATCAAAAATGGTTGCGTCTCGTTGGCAAGTGGCAACAATAAAGCGCAGTTAACGAAAAATGAGTGGAGTGACGTATGCGGGCTTCTATCAAAGCGAGTTCCCATAGAAAAATAATTAACAGTGGTGGAAAAGGAGACAGTCTTAAGTCAAGGAAGGGAGCTATAGCAAGCTGTTTGTATTTATGACGTTGCTCCAGCAGTAGATCGGCGATGCCCTCAGCATCGTGTTAGCAGTCACTAGTACAGATGGGCGGTACACCTACATCAGGGGTGTACACACGAGGAAGAGAAGCAACAAATAGGGGGCTAGCAAATGAAGGCCAGGAACGAAGCACAACCAAGGAGTTTGACAGTAAAACAGAGCCATACCCGAATATCGTATTATTGGAGCGGGAAAAACCAGTGCATCCTATCGAAAGTGTTAGAAATAATCAGTTATTTGACAATCGGTGAACTGCTACTCACGTGAAAATGTAACGATGTATGTAGAGAAAGCACGAATTTACGTTACAATAAGGAGCGAAACGCTCAATGAATAGAACACAGATGAAATAGGTGGTCAGTAATATCTTGAACTGTGATAATGATTCTGCCACTACAATTTTTTTGGCAGAATGATCCAAACATTTACCACTCGAAGCGCAGAAAGTGAGGAAATCGCTTCGGACACGGGGCTGCGAGCATGTACGGGTGTTCGCATGTGAAGTAACAGTGTCAGCACGGGGAAGTCAATGAAATGTAAGTTACGATGAGTCATGATACTGTCGACTCGCACCCGTCCAAAGGATGTGTATAATTCCTAACCGCGCACCGACCTACGCGCGGTTCATTCTTTTAACGGGGATGAGCCTAACAGCGATTTATTAAGCCTGTTAGATGCTATATATGTCGCCCGGAGTGATCGGACAGATAGAAGGTGAGTTGCACTCCAGAATAAAGCATGTGCAGTCCCGACTCGCGCTGCTCACTTGCTCCAAATCGCAGCGGTAAAGTTCGCCTGAGTCCTTGACAGATGGTGTGGGATGCAGCAGATGACCGTCGATAGTGCAGCTTTGAGCACCCCAAACGGTGTGATTGAGTTGGTCGGGAGAAGGACTTCTGCAGACAGAACAGAGAGACGGTAGAAGTCACATGGAAGTAGGCTGCAGTCGCCTACAAGCATTAAGCACTTACTAAATATTCGTGTCGTCTGAATAAAGGTATCTAGCCGGGGCAGGATGATGGTAAAACTATTTTGAAATAGAAGTAAGTCATTTGTGCGAAGAGACAGGACCGGTCATTTAGTGGCATCCGTAAAAGGGAATGCGTGTTATGTGAAATGTGAATGAAGCGAGACGGGCGAACAGAGTGGAGCATCTTTGGCATAGTGTTTCACGGTAGCCTGAAGTGATCGATCGGGTTGTAGAAACGTGTGGGTGAGCAATGCTGAGGTCCGCCAGTTGGCCATCGGCAAGGAACTTCCTGGTGCTGCGCCAGTGGTTGTCGAATTTGAACCGCTAACGTTGGCTAGGTCACGTCATCCGTATGCCCGTTGACCGACCTCGGTGTATATTATACGCCGTGGCTGTACCAAGTTGGGCTAGACTGCGAAATGGCCAGTAGATGACGTGGCATAGGGGTATGACAAAATTAACTGAGAGACTTGGTCAAGTTGGTGTTTGCCGTCTTCGTGAATAGGGCCCCGGGATAATCCAACTCAGTGGTTAGAGTGTATCACACATGGTGCAGTCGTGCAATCAGTGGGGTTTCCGGATTCGATTTCTAGCATCTTGCTGTTAATTCTCATTCCATCCCGATTGGTTGCGCACACTTCCGTATTGATTCCATTTGCTTTGTATTGTGTTTGTGTTCAACAACATTTTCTTACCGTTGCTGCTAATTGTTAGTTTGGCGACGTGAGTCAAAGTAACTGGATCCATTGCATGTCGGTTCCCGGATCATACTTGTTCGACTAAAATGTGGCAGACCACGTGACTTCGAGATGTGGTCTGATTACCTCTGAAGGTGAAGGAACATCAACAAGCATCACTAGTTATCATTTTATAAGTTGGCCAGATGTAGGAAATGTCATAACCAATACGTCGAATTATACATCAGCCAGATAGCCGTAAAAAAGGTAAAAAACTATGACACAGTCAAGCCTGGACCTGCGGTCAAACGCATCGTGAGTGATGCATTAAATAACTCAGCAATTACCACAGTAGCCCTACAAACTGCAAATCTTCGTGATGCGCTGCTCCGAATGATTACATAGTTCCACAGAACCAGTTAGTCAAATTGCAGTAATCTCTAATGACACGTTCACTCTCTATTCTAAACAGCTGCATAATATCATCGAAATAAGTTGTTACCCCAAGACCCTACATGAGCACATACTTCGGTAATTTCATAGGGTATATGCAGGGATCAACCGGATAAGGGCGCTTGTGAGCAGCTACGTATACTGGCCTTCTGTGGACAGACAGCTAGAAGAATCAGCCGGATATTGTCTAAAGTGCATCAAGGTTTTAAAGACGCCACCGAAAACGGAGCTGAACTCACGACCGTTGACCACGTAACCATGGTGCTGTATGTATTATGAATTCGGAAAACCAGTCAACGGCCAAAGCTTTCTCAATGTGACCGACTCGTAAAATAAGTGACCATAAGTGTTTCTCATGGAGAACAGAAAAACTAGTACCACTGTATCAAGACTGCAACAAATTTTCTGCAGGTTCGAGTCTAGAAACACTTGTAACGGACAACGGCAACTTCACGGATGTCTGTAAGTGATGGTTATTCCCTGCACATTCTATTGCCGCCGTTCCACCCACAAACCAATGGGAAAACAAAGAGGTCCGTGGACGTGTTTGATCGGGCTCTGCTTAAATAATAAGATGAGGGGCATATAGAGGAAAGGATCAACAGATCCCTCTGTCTGTATCGATCCACCTCAAACTCAGCGCCCTCTGCGGAAGCACCGGTGAACAAGAAGCTCCGCATGCAATTCGACGTCTTTCGGCCAACCCCAGAGTCCTCATATGGCAAAATAAACTGAAAAGTGAAGCGAAGATGCAATCGGTGGCACGGAGCCAAGCAACGCTCGTTCAATAATCGCACTTGACTATCGGAAAAGCCATAGTATGGATTACCGGTAAGATCAAGTGCATATATAAGGATGTCATCTATGATGTGTTCAATGGAATGCAAACTTGTGTCTGCCACGCAAATCAGCTACGCCCGAAAATATGCCAGCTGGGAACGAGAAAGTCAGCCGTAGTGCTATATGAATTTGGGAATCCCTTCAAATAACCGAAGGCCCAGACGGTGGACTGCAGTCAGCTGAACGATGTATCCGACAGTACAGAAAAAGGCATCAACCGTAGGCCGGTACACAGTACCGACGCTTTGCTGCCGCGCAATAACCACCGGTCACACGTGGGCTCAGGATACTGCGAAGGTTGCCCTGCCCCATACGCAGGCTCTAACCCTCACGGTCAGATTGCAAGACAAGCTTGTAACCTCTAAGCTACGCGTCGGCAGTTCAGAACCACTTAAGAACGAAGTGCAACCCAGGCAACAAACTGAGACGGAGGACACCGACTTCAAGACTGTCAGTCTACCAGTGAACTTTACACAATAGCCACGGTCTCAAGAAGGGGTGTCGGGTATCAATTAAAAACCTCCGGGAAAACGCACTATCTCAATGGGAAAACCATTAGAACCAATGGTGTACAGCCAGAGCATTAAGTCCTTTCGAGAATATTCACGTCCATCGCGTAACACTGCGTACCTGCCTCCACAGTAGTGAGTGGGACTGAGGTATCAATCAGGGCAGCTGATCTAGCGGTGCAGAAACACGTTTCCGGGTTGGGATATAGATATTGGTTGATAATCAGGCCACTGGTACCTGTTTTCAGTAAATGATCCTCTAAGTTGCTTTCGCTTTGAATGGTTTACTTAAGTGTGGCCTGGATTGAAGCTTGCAGAGAACCAATGTAGTTTGAATAGAACTGCAATATAAGAAAACCTAACAGCGTCATTTAAACTGATCGCAACCAAACGAAATGATGTTTAAGACCCACAGTAATACCACCGTCATGTCAGGTGATTTGCAGCAACACGTAAATGCACGGTCATGAAATAGGGAGCGTTCGCAGTGATAGATTTTGGAAAAATCGAAAAAATAAATCAAGGGGTTAATTGTTAATACCATAGACACAAAATCAACCAAGAACTATAAATTTGGATTAGAACGGTAGTAGCCACAGAAGAATGTGGTTAAGGAGCCAGGTAGGAAAGCGGTTCTGAAATGGCCAACCGAATGATTTTGGCACAGCAAAACGGCGAATGAAGTTAACGCCAATTTCGTGTTGGTATGAAAGTAGTTACGCTGGAACTCTCACTGTAGCCACGAAGAGGATGGCTTGCGCCTGGCAACATGGGAGTGACGACAAAGGATTATGTTCATCACAAGTTAAGCAAACAAAGGAATGCATCAGAGAACTGAGTTTCGACTGTAGCAGTGACAAATGTTTCAGAAGCAAGCGAAGATGTAAAACGACCAAGGCTGAAAAAGAAGAGATGCCACTTGCCGTTTCAAGTGATTTTGTGTACGTTGAAAGTCTTCAGTATGGAGAGAAGAAAGGACTTTATTGAGTAAAGCAACTGATCTCCCTCCATGTAAGCGGGAAACGTTCTCTTTTGACAACTCCCATTCAAAGGCATTAGCTGCATCCATGAGGAGCGGATAATAGACACGGGAACCGTAATGTGCGGTGTTTCGAGTGAAGTAGTTCGATTGGGCTAGAAAGGAGAGCCAACACGCGCCTTCAATTTGAATCACAACACAGTCAAGTTCAGTACTATAGACGTACAAGACACCGCAAGGTTTGTAGCGGACAATGAAAAGACGAGTATTGTACAAGATAAAGTTTGCATGACTGGAGTAACTGAAGGTTGATTACCATGTAAAGCAATTACGGGAATGCGCAATAAAAAGCAATCCCCAATAATGTTCACGTGTGTATGTGAAAGCCATGAGGGAGCTCAGTTTGCCAACAATGATCGGTGTACAGGAAAAAGGTAGATCTAGCCCAGAACTGGTCTACTTTGTGAATGATACCGATAAATCAGACAGAACGATCCATACTTCGTAGTGGAGCAGCTTGTTCCGCCCCGAAATATGTGGTGAGTAAGGCTGAAGTCCCCGCGTCTCCAAACAAGTTGACCTAGCTATGGTCTACTCTTCAAGTTTACATCCGGACTACAAGTGAAAGGCCGCATCTAGGGGGGATTTGGCATGCTATGGATAATACGCCGTTCGTTTAGAATACTAACGGGATATGTATGTCAAGCTGCACTCGGCTTTTGTTCTAGCATACCTAAAATATTGTATTCATGCTTAGCCGCCTTGTCTCATTCCGGACAAAATGGAGCTGGAACTTCTATGAGTGGGTACTAGGTTGGTCGATTGGTTTCGGTGACCGACGTACTCCGAGCGTTCTCCTGTAAGTGAACATTGCCATAAGTTTCCAGTGACGTGATTCGTTCCTGGACTGTCGCTCGTTCTAGAGTAGGTGGATCGACCCATAGTGACAGCTGGGTTCGGCAGTGTTCCAGGACGAGGTGGGTTTTTGCCTGACAAGCGTTCCCCCTATAAAAAGCCACTAATGTTCGTTTAGCAACCCGGCGATGTGACCCGCCACTAAATAAGGCCACTGCCTTTTGCTTTCCTCCGGTGGAGCATTGTATTCCAGCAATCCGATGTTGAAACTGCGTGGAAAATAAGGCCTGTTTGGTAAGCATCCAAAAGAAAGTCGTATGAACTAAGTAATCGGCCACCGGCGCCCAATGGGCGCGATTCCCTGAATTCGCTCCGCTGCCTTGCGAGTAGGCTATTCAGCCAAAGGCTCGAGGTGGTGTCCTCTAAGATAACCCCTAAATCGGTTAGGGCAACCGGGTAGTATCTCGCCCGCTGACAAAACCATGGATCCCGTAACTACTACTACGATGTCGTTCACTCCCGCTCCTGCGATCCTCAGTACTTATGCACCTCCATCACACACCAATAATTCCGTCGAATCTACCTCAGATGACAGTCTCACCCAGGTACAGAGCCCAACCAGTGGCTCTCCTTCGTCTTCGATCTATATTTCATCTAGCGGCCTGCAACGTTAGAACCATTATGCAGATCGGACAATTAGCCAGACTAGCGCGCACATTGGAGTCCCAGGTTGGTGATGTCTTTTGTTTTGCTGAGACTCGGTTACAGGACTCTAGCAGCGTAGTTAAGTTGACGTTCCCCGCTGATCGCGAGACCAAATATTTCCTGCATTTGTCTGGTGACACAGAGGCTGTTGCAGCTGGCCCGGCTGGTATTGGCATCGCATTGAGTGACAAGGCTGTGGCCTCACTGCTCGATTGGTTCCTGATTAACAGCTGTTTGTGTGCGGTTCGACTTCAAAGCTCATGCAAGACCAATAGGTGTCGTACAGAGACGTAATTTGTTTGTGGGTTCAGTCTACGCACCAACCGACTGTAGTTGTGCATCGGTTAAGGGCGAATTCAATCGTGGAGTTCCACAGTTTTTGAGTAAGGCCGAAAAATCCGCTGTCGTCGTCCTTGCCAATGACTGTAATGCACGGGCCAGTCGCTTGCTGCTATCTCGGTGGCCGTCATGTTCTTTATGAGAGTTGTTCGGATAAGGGAGAGAGGCTTCTCACGTTAGGTGAGGGCAACAGGCTCATTCTCGCGGGCACGAACTTCAGCCATTCGAGGAGACGCGCCGCCACTTGGCGTCCCTTTTAGCCAACACAAGCGCGGTCAATTTGATTACACTGCAATCAGCGCCAAAGAGCGGGACAGCGTATGGGAGTTCAGATGGATTTGATTCACCTATGTCGACTCAGATCACGCTCTGGTCTGTGCGGACACCTGCATGCGCTTTGGTGGTTCCTCGAAACCAAAGCACCGTACGTTGGATACCAACAGGCTGGCTACCCCTTCCATGTAACTGGTCTATAAATCCACCTTATCAGATGCGCTCAATAAGGACCCACCTAAAGATTTGGAACATCCCTAAAATTACTTGCAGATGCTACTTCCAGTCACATTCTGTGGAATCGATGGGCTTCAACTCGCTCTCTGCAGTTGTTTGACCGTCACCGAACTATCCCAACTGATTCAAGTTCGCTGCGACTTAAGCCAACAATTCAAGCAAAGCCTGCGTAACGATCGGGAAATCTGATGGTCTGAGCGCGCTTCAAAGATGGAGACAGCGGCTCATCCTGGAAATTTGCGCCATCTTTTGCAGATCATCTAGATAACTGGCCACAAGACCTGGCGTCATTGAAGCTCTTTGTGTGGTTGACGGATCACCAATCAGGTTAACGTAAACCGCTGGGCGGAGCACTTCCAGTCTCAAATCAGTTGGCCTCCTTCTTCTGGTTGTTTAAGGAGTATGTCTAGTTTCGTACCTTGGAACGTTCCAATGGAAATACCCACCGAAGAGGTTTGTCTTGAGTTTCGTCCCTTGAAGCGAACCAAAGCTGTGGACTCAGACAGACTTCATCCGAACTGCACAAATACGGTGGAGAAACAAATGCCGAACAAATAACAGCGCTGTTCTCCAAGATCTGGCGTGAAGGAAAGGTTCCAATCTCCTGGGGTTAGTCGCTTAGCATACCCTTATTCAAAAAGAGTGCTCGTACCTCATGCCTCCGAATTGTTAAGATGCATTCTATTGCGCAGGCTGACATCGATTTGAGAACTACATACCCGTGAGAAACAAGCTGGTTTCCGCCTCGGTCGAGGGTGTGTGGACCACATGTTTATGATTCGCCAAACCCTCGAGCAGCGCCACCTTTATTGCCAGCCTACCACTGTCGCCCATTTGGACATCCGAGCTGCACTCGACTCGGTCGATCGGCCTGCTTTATGGCGTTGTCTGCAATAGAATGGAGTACCCGAAAAGTATACGACCATATAACATGCTTTATACAACCATATCTCTGGTACAGTGAAAGCTTATGGTCAGCTCTCTTCACCATTCGTCATCACTAGCGGTGTGCGATTGGGATGTCCCATGTCCCCGTTTCTCTTCAACTTAGCGATTGTAGGTGTCCTATTAAGCGCTTTGGAAGGTCTCCAGTTTTGGCGCAGAGCTACTTCCAGGCAACCGCGTGACTGACATGGACAAGTGTTGGTCATATTGACTTGCTTGGTGACGACCAACAGATCATACAGGTCGTTCTAAACCCTTTGGTGATGGAAGCGACCAAGTATGGTATGGCCTTTGTCCCATCGAAATGCAAGGTTTTACACCAGGATTGGTATTCAGCTGCCCCTGTGCTGATTGCTGAAGGCATGCAACTTGAACAAGTGGAAGCTTCATCTACCTTGGGAGCTGCGACTTTCAGATGGTATCATTGGTAAAGCGATTTCTCTCTGTATTGTTAAAGCCCGATCAGCGTTCGCTGATCTGAGGCATCTGGGATGTCGTCGTAGCGTTTCACTCAGGGTAAAGGGCGGGGTCTACAATGTCCGTGTCCGCGCGGTCCTGTTGTACGGAAGTGAGTCCGGGCTGAATCGTGTAAATGATTTTCGTCGGATTTCGGCCTTTGATAGCGGTTGTCTGCAGAGGATAGCTCGTGTGTGGTGGGAACACCACGTTGGCAACGTCGATGTTAGACGTCGCATCCCAAGTTATATCGGCCTCTATCCCGATAAGCTAATATCGCTGCGACAACTGAGGCGGCTAAGTCACGTCGAACGCATGCCGTGCAAGCGTTTACCACGGCGTGCTCTATTCGCTTGTGCAGTCGCATTGAAATAAATTGGGCGGTGGTCAACCTACAACATGGCGAAAAACGTCAAGGCATTGACTTCCAGTCTAGGTGTTGTCGGTCCCGTAGATCTTCTGGATTGGGGAGTCAGAGATGAAGAGTATTGTTAGTTAAAGACTTCTGAGGACATGGCGCGTAATCAGAGCCAATGGAAGGTTCGCATAAAGCTATGAACTGATCTACTGAAGAAAAACCGTAATCATTAAACTGACAAAAAGACAAAATAGCGCATGAAAAATACAAAAAACGTGCTTTATTTTGTGGTCGTTGTACTTATTATGCACATTTATTCATCATCATCATCATCATCGTCATTATCATCATCATCATACACTTTAGATGCAGACGGAAAATACCCCAGTTATTGTGCCGCAATACAGAAGACAAAATGAAAAACAGTGGCACACCGGCTGAGTCCCCAGTAACGGATGGACATCGTTCCGGAGAGCTAACAACCGGCTATTGTGCCGCAAAAAGTTATATTATGCCTAACGAGTAAGATCGTGATTGGAGGGTGGTGCTAAGCAGGAGGGGGATGGACAAAGGAACTCACAACACAAACGCCATTGAGGCCGGCTCCTAGTCATATCAGCAACGTGTCTAACCACACGCGTTCATCAGCCAGGCAGTCGGGATGCACCAACCGACGCCAACTTCGAAGTGAGGGTTTTCATTTCTCTCGACCAAGTCATCGCTTGGCCTCCCCTCCTTCTCGTCCAAGCGCAACCCCGGCGCGCAAAGAATGCACATCGTGGGAGTCGGTGTGCTGGCATGCGCAACACGTGGCCCAGCCATCGGAGCCTGGTGCGTGATATAATGGTGCTGAGCGGTTCTATAGGTCTTCCTGCACCAACTGGGCAACATCGAACACGCTCATTGTTCAAGCGCTGCTCTCACCAGACATAAGTCAGGCTGCGAAGGCAGCGATGATCGAATGTGACGAGCCTCTTCATGTCTATC